TTTTTTTCCCTTTCCATTTCCAGTTTCTGAGTTTCCCCATCATTACCACCAGTGAACAGCTCCCAACGCTAATAGTTCTGCTTTTGTTACTCTGTGCTGATTGAAATGTCGCATACAGATTGAGATGTTAGTGCTAAGTTGCCACCTGGGAATGTCAAGCTGGGTCTGAAATGAACTCTTCTCACTCTTGGATCCAGATGGATCCGATGGGGATGTTCTCGAGCTGAGCTGGGAGTGTTGCAGGGAACAGAATGGGGATGGCACAGGGTGGGGGGGACATGAAGAAGATTTTCTGCCTCAGCCCACAGCCTCTTCTGTGAGGCCAAATCTGTCTCCTGCGGTCCCCTTGTGAGAGTCATGTCCAGAGCTTGTGCAGTGCCCCCAGCCTTCTGCTCTCATGTTAATGGGCTGGAGAATGCGCCATCTTCGCTTAGGCAGAAGGACTAAAAAGAGTTAATTTTAATGGCTCTTTCGAATCTTAAACTCTGATTTTAGGCGCCTCGCCTTCACATCCAGCTATGGGGATCTGCCTTCCACGAAGGAAGGACAGTGCTGCTGTCCTACTGGCTTTGCCCCCCGAAGACAGGAAAGTGTATCCTGTAAGAGATGTAGATCTGCTAAATGGTAGATGGATGCCAGCTGAGGTTTGTCTTGCATATGCAAATACAAAGAAAGGTAGAACAATTTTGCCACAGCTGAGCCATTTTTTTCTGGTTGGCTGAGAAACTGCACGGCTGCAAGGATCCTGGATCAAGCTGTACAGCAGCCAAAGCCATCCAAAAAGCCTGGGGGTGTCACTCTTTCGAGACTCTCCATCAAGATGCCGTTTGCCTCCCCATGGTTCTCAGTGGCAGTCTGCAGACCTCACACTGCATCTCCTCTGTGTTTGGGGTAACTGTTACTCATCCTGCCCGCTCCCAAAGTTATGGTAACCAAAGGTTGCAGGTAATAATACGCCTTTGCTCAGTGTTTGCTGAACAAGCAACGGCTGCCTGCCTCAGGCACGAGCTGCCTTGACCTGAGGGGCTGTTTGCTGGGGCTTCTGCAAGAAAACATGGAGACACAAGCTCCAGTGCTCTTGATTCTGTGCCAGCAGAGGACAGCTTTTTGGCCAAGAGGGAACAGCTCCTTCCCTTGCTAGCAGGACTTACACCTCTTTGTTATAAGTTATTTCTCAACTGGGTTTGTAGAGGGGCCGCAGCAGTTGCAGGGCAAGGGGATGTACTGAACAGGGGGGCCTTGCCACCTGCTCTAGCCGCCGAGCAGGCGACGTGCACATCTCCGGTACGCGGGCG